CCCCCCCCGGCGTGTTCAGCCTCAGAATTGAGATTTTTAGCGCTTAAAAAGCGATTTACCCCCAATGCGATATTTTTTGGTACGAAACGGGCGCTTTCCGCTCTTGAAATAGCGGGTTTTTAGCCCGAAATAAAGATTTCTGCCCCCAGATCCTATTTCCCGCCCACAGAAAAAGGGTTTCTGAGCCCAAAATGGGGTTGTTCAGCCCCAAAATAGGGGTGTGCCGCCTCACGGGAGGCGCTTTCTGCCATGAAATGGGTGGTGTTCGCCTTGGAAATGGGATTTTTCCACCCCAAAATAGGGCTTTTATTTTTTTCAGATGTAAAATGGCGTTTCGGGGTTAATAAAAACAACTTTTACACCCCGAAATCGAGGGGTTTGGTCTCAAAAGCGGGGTTTCCGGCCCCAAAATGGAGGTTTTCAGCCTCGAAAGAGCAGCTTTGTTCCCCGAAACGAGTTTTTAGCACTAAAATGTGGGATTTTGCCACCCTCCCTCGACTTTTTGGCACCCTGAGAGAGGATTTTGGACATAAAATACAGAATTTTTTAGCCCAGACCCCAAAGTGGCATTTTTTCAGCCCGAAAATCCAGCTTTCTGCACCTGGAAGGGTCCCCAAAATGGAGGTTTCCAACCTCAGATTAAGATCTTTGTTCCCTAAATTGTCATTTTTCAGCTGCCTGATATCTTTTTCTGGTCCCAAAACGGAATTTTGAGAACCCAAAAGCAGCTTTTCACCCCAAAATTGGAATTTTTTTTCTATTTTTTAGTCAGAAACTTATTTTTTTCTGCGGCTGAAATGGAGGTTTCCAGCCCCTAAAATGGAGGTTTCCAGCCCCAAAATGGAGGTCCTCGGTTCCAGAATAGGAGCTTTGTGCTGGCAAATGCCATTTTTCTGCCTCAAATTCAAGGGTTTTGCTCCAGAATTAATATTTTTTGGCGCTAAATACAGATATTTTGTTGCACAGTGGCAATTTCAGCCCCCAAATTGATGGTTTTGGCCCCAGAGTAGGCTTTTACTGTGCCAGAATAGCTTTTTCTGCTGAATAATACAATTTTGCTGCCCCGAAAGATCTTTTTTAACCCCAAAAAGAATTTTTCTTAGTGCCAATATCGGGCTTTTCCCTCCCAAAAGGTGATTTTGGCCTCAAAACGAACGTTTTCAGCCTCACAACGGGATCTTTGTTTCTCCAAACGGAGCTTCCAGCCCCCAAAATGGAGATTTTTTTGTCAGCCCCAGAATAGGATCTTTGTTCTCAAAAGTGTCCAAAAAGGGGTTTTGGCACCAAAAAAAGCATTTTTTCGGCTGCAGAATGGTGATTTTAACCCCATAATGGTGATTTTTAGCCTGAAAACAGCTTAATTCCACCCCAGAATCACTAATTTTTTGCAGCATCACCATAGAGGCTTTTTTTTGTTGCCAAAAAGCGACGTTTCGGCGCCAAACTAGCATTTTGCAGCCTCAGAATTAGTTTTTTTGCCCCCAAAAAGGGACTTTTCAGCCCAGAATTCATTTTTTTAGCTGCAGTACCTTTTTGAGGCTGAGAAACGGGAATTCTTTGGAAGAAAAACTGGGATTGCCCAACTCCAGAAACCGCAGGTTTTTAACCACTGGAATGGTGGTTTTTAACCCAAAGTGGGGGTTTTAACCCCATTTCTCCCCTCCTCGGCCCCAAATTGCAGGTTTTCAGCCTGTTTTCACCCGCAGGGCGTGGCCCCGTGTCCCCCCACCCCCCGTGTGACATTGGGGGTCCCCAAGGTGCCTGCCCCTCCCCCACCCTTTGTTCCCCGCCGCCCCCTTCCCCCTGCCATGGGCAGATTTTTGATAGAGAAAAATCAAAATTTTGGGATTTTTCTATTTATTTGGGGGGAGGGGGAAAGGATGGGTATTTTTTGGGGGGGAAAAGGGCAAATTTGGGGTGTTTCTGGAAATTAACGTTTTTGGAAGCGGCTCCGCCGTTCAAACGCGGTTTCCGGTTCCCGCCCGGCCGTTTTC